ACACATAAATCCCAAAAGTGGAGGTTCCTTCACAACTCCCTAATAATGATGATGCCTGTGGTTTTGGAATGGGATGGCCAACAAGATAATATCAGTGGGATGGGATGGCCAGGTGTCCATATACTTTTGGACATTAAATGTGACACTAAACTCTGATTAAATTTTTTTTTCAAGCATGTATTTGTCACTTAGAAAAGTCCCTTCTTTTGCACTCAGCCTCCTCCTATTCGCCAAATTCCTTTTTTTACTGCTATGATGTGATTTCTTGTTAAAGGGTGGGTACATTCATTCTCCATGGTCCCACTGTATGTAGGAATGTAAACCACCTTCTCTTGCTCACTCCTGAGATGGACTATGGATTAAGGGATGTTTAGTGTGCATAGATTACAGGGCCATTAGGGAGAGGATGTACCGTATATGGATTATTTTAGGAGAATAAGTATATTCTTTAATGTCACTTCAGGCAATTTTTTTTTTAATTTTTTCTTAACAAGTACACCATATTTGTAGGCAATTTTAAAGCCCATTGATGGGATTACCCACATATGTTTAGCAGCAGGGTGAGTGGGCCTTAAAGTGGAAGCAAACCAATGTTGTATCTTTTACCTACAGGCAAGCCTTTAATAAGGTTTACCTGTAGCTACTATAAATATCTCCTAAATGTGCTCCATTTATGAGATATTTACTGTAGAAGCGCTGGTGGTGTCACCGACGCATGCGCACTGCGCTCACAATGGACAGCATGCCGTTCTTTGAGAGAGCTATGCCGCGGCTGAAACTCCTGTGTGCATGTGCGGGAGTGACAACATCACAGCTCGGCCTGTCAGGTGACCACTGCTTGCGAACCTGGAAGAAAAACCGGGTAAAGATGGAAGCCTTGGGGAGCCTTGGGGAGCCGTGGCAGCGCACCACTAGAGGGCTTCATTTTCAGGTAAGTCTTCCATAATGTGCTAGTAAGCAATGCATACTAGCACATTATACTCTTAACTTGCAGGGTGAAAATTTTTTTTGCGGTTTACTACCGCTTTAATGGCCAAGTGCTAAACATATGCAACCAAGGTGCTACGCTGTTCTGTGTTCCCGCACACTGACCCGGCTGTCAATACCAAATTCCTGGTCACCATTTATGATCAGGAAACAGGAGAGACACCCGATCATGTGATTGCTGTGACAGTCAAATCACAATGGTCACATGATCAGGAACTCTACCTTCACCTCCTGTCATTCAGAACCTTTTAAAAGGCCAGAAGGAGGCAAAAGCAAGGGGTTAATTCTGGAAAAAGCAGCAAATTGAAGGTATCCAGATCATTTTTTCACTGTAGTCTACAAATGGGATGGTAGTTGGATCTCCTCCATGTAGCATCTTATAGGGGTCAGCTATCAAAAAGATATCTTGTTTTGCTGGGAACCATAATTTCTGTTTTGGATTGCTGTTCTGGTGGTTCATTCATGGATGAAGGATCAGTCCACCCAAGCATCATATTTCGCCTTTTGATAGATGCTGGAGAGTTACTCTACTGGACAGTTCCATACATCTTGTAGGGACTCTATTGGTGAGATCCCCTGAGTTCAGACCTTTGTGACCATTGTGAGCGATTCCCAGCCTCCATGCTATATTTTTATTTTGTTTTTTTTATGGAGAATGTAACAGATGAAGCTAGAGCACACAAAGTTGCGGAGAAATATCCAAAACTTCTAAGTGGGTATGAGCACAGTTTGATATAATGGCAAGGACAGCTCATTAATGGAGTATCCAAGACCTAGAAAAGGCCAGCAGCTGCCTAGCCCATTAGGTTCCACCTATAAATAAACCATCCCCTTTGGGAGGACCAAACATACCATGGACTCAAGACAATGTAAACAGCTGAAAAAATCTTTATCCACTCATGAGGCAAGTGTATGTGAAACACTAGAGAGAATAAGTTCCAGTTAAGAGATATCTTCAACCAAACAGCTAACTACTAATATATAGGGACTTTTGTTCTATCAAAATTTACCTTGAGCTTTTTTAAAGTCATTTTTCTAAAATAACAAACATGTTATAATTACCTACAATGCCATTGCAGAGAAGCCCCAAACCTCTTCTTCTCAGGTCCCCCACTGGTGCTCCTCCGCTTTTCAGTGTGCCACCATAGTAAGCCGCTTCCTATGATGGCAAACCTGCTGGCTCGCTACCGAGCTGTGCTTCCTGAATCTATAGACACACACAGCACGGCTTGATGGTGATTTATTCTTCCAAAGCAAATATACCTTTGCACGCTGGTCCTGACTAGTATTCCAATGTGTCTCTCTCAGTTTCTTTCTCTCACTCAGCTAATGTGACCCCAGAACTGACAGAGAGGGGCGGGAGGGGCAAACAAGGATACTGTGCATGCACCTGACGTCCTCCTTCTCAACTGATGATGTCATTGGTTGTTAGGATGCCGGCAGCTAGAAGGTCATAAAAGCGCACAATGAAAACCTGTGGCTTTGTGGAACTTAAAGGCAAGATTGATCCTTTTATACAATTTTTGGATCATTTTTAGGCATCTTGCCAAGGCACCCCTGAAGAAGCCTGAAGGCTCCCTAGCATGCCTAGGCGACTTGGTTGACCAAAAAGCTGCTCTAGTGGTAGAAAATAGGAATAGCTTTAATAGCAATCCTAGAGAGGTTACCGAATTTAAATTGTATCAAAACCCAAAAATAAAAAAACAAAACTAATGTAGCTGCTGCGTTTAGGGCAGTCAAGGGGTGGTAAAAAAAGGTGGTTGATCCACATTTCTTACTATCCCCCAGCCAACCAACTAAAATAAGACCTATAAAAGATCAAGGAGTCTGGACAGCTGTGCTCTGCAAATATCATCCACCTTTGTTAATAGTAAAAGCACTCATATTCAGCACCTTGACCCAATGGGGACAGAGGAGAAGGTCAACGCGTTTCACCCGTCCAAACATGTTGAACGTCTTCTCTGTGCCCATTGGGTCAAGGTGCTGTATATGAGGTTACCCTTTATTAAAGGTGCAGCTGTCCAGATTTCTAGATCTTCTACCAGTACATTTGCTCAAACTGGGCTTGCACCTGTGTAGTTTGCGGGAGGTGCGAAGGATTGCAGCGGCAGGCTTGCCTGGAGCGGCGGGCTCTGTGATCGCTATACAAGGAGACCTAGTGTCCTTGGATTAGTACACATTGCTGCAATTGTAACACTACATGCATGAGATTTGGCAGGTGACGCCCCAACTCCCCCCCCCCCCCCCGTCAAACTCGAGAATATAATTGAATAGGGCAGCACCACAACCTCAGGCCATACATGTGGTTTCTAATTGCGCAATGAACCACATTGTTAAATTGCTATTGGGAAAAAGAAAAAGAAGAGTAAAAAGAAGAGTAAAAAAGGCACCAAGAGATGGCAGTATGGCCGCCTGAATTCCTGCTGACCTCCTTTTACTATCCTCTGAAAAGTGATCCACTGAGGATTGATACCGCTAGCTTGCAAGGAGCCTTAAAGTGTTATTAAACCCACAACAGTACAATCAGTCTGTATATGCAGTAAAGCATGCTTGTTATACTCACTGTGGAACCTAAGGGGTTAATCCTCTGCATTGTGTAAAAAGGCTGTTTGATCCTGACTTCTCTGATCCTCCCCTTCTTCCAGTGTCTCCCTCTTATCTCCTGATAAGATATACAGTGTGGAGACACTTCACATGCTCAGTTTGGTGTGCATTGCTAGAGAGGTTTTTTTTTCTTCTTGGGAAAGTGTATGTGATCAGCACAGGGCCATTCAGCACTGTCCAGACAGAATCAGGGGTTCTGCATTCTACTAGAGAAAACTCCTCCTACAAGCTTTAACCAGTGCTCTGCTGGACACTGATAGAAGTCACAAGACTGCTCTAACTTCTGATGAGAAAAGGTATTTAGCAGTTTATATTTACTAAAATAATTGCAATTCCATGTTCTCTGTACTGTGGGAGACCAGATATAGTAAATGCAAGTCTGGGGAGACCGGATATAGTGAATGCAGGGTCCGGGGAGACCAGATATAGTGAATGCAGGGTCCGGGGAGATCAGATATAGTGAATGCAATGCAGGGTCCGGGGAGATCAGATATAGTGAATGCAGGGTCCGGGGAGACCAAATATAGTGAATGCAGGTTCCAGGGAGACCAGATATAGTGAATGCAGGGTACAGGGAGACCAGATGTGGGAATGCAGGGTCTGGGGAGACCAGATATAGTGAATGCAGGGTCCGCGGAGACCGGATATAGTGAATGCAGGTTCCAGGGAGACCAGATATAGTGAATGCAGGGTCTGGGGAGACCAGATATAGGGAATGCAGGGTCCGAGGGAGATCAGATATAGTGAATGCAGGGTCCGGGGGAGACCAGATATAGTGAATGCAGGGTCCGGGGAATGCAGGGTCCGGGGAGACCAGATATAGTGAATGCAGGGTCCGGGGAGACCAGATATAGTGAATGCAGGGTCTGGGGAGACCGGATATAGTGACTGCAGGGTCCAGGGGAGACCAGATATATTGGTGAATGCAGGGTCCGGGGAGACCAGATATAGTGAATGCAGGGTCCGGGGAGACCAGATATAGGGAATGCAGGATCCGAGGAGACCAGATATAGTGGTGAATGCAGGGTCCGGGGAGACCAGATATAGGGAATGCAGGGTCCGGGGAGACCGGATATAGTGAATGCAGGGTCCGGGGAGACCAGACATAGTGAATTCAGGGTCCGGGGAGACCAGATATAGTGAATGCAGGGTCCGGGGAGACCAGATATAGGGAATGCAGGGTCCGGGGAGACCAGATATAGTGAATGCAGGGTCCAGGGAGACCAGATATAGTGAATGCAGGGTCCAGACCAGATATAGATATGAATGCAGGATCCAGGGAGACCAGATATAGTGAATGCAGGATCCAGGGAGACCAGATATAGTGAATGCAGGGTCCGGGAAGACCAGATATAGTGAATGCAGGATCCAGGGAGACCAGATATAGTGAATGCAGGATCCAGGGAGACCAGATATAGTGAATGCAGGGTCCGGGGAGACCAGATATAGTGAATGCAGGGTCCTGGGAGACCAGATATAGTGAATGCAGGGTCCAGGGTCCAGATATAGTGAATGCAGGGTGGGAGACCAGATATAGTGAATGCAGGGTCCTGGACCAGACCAGATATAGTGAATGCAGGGTCCGGGGAGACCAGATATAGTGAATGCAGGGTCCGGGGAGACCAGATATATGAATGTGAATGCAGGGGTCCGGGGAGACCAGATATAGTGAATGTAGGGTCTGGGGAGACCAGATATAGTGAATGCAGGATCCGGGGAGACCAGATATAGTAAATGCAGGGTCCGGGGAGACCAGATATAGTGAATGCAGGGTCCGGGGAGACCATATATAGTGAATGCAGGATCCGGGGAGACCAGATATAGGGAATGCAGGGTCCGGGGAGACCAGATATAGTGAATGCTGGGTCCGGGAAGGCCAGATATAGTGAATGCAGGGTCCGGGAAGGCCAGATATAGTGAATGCAGGGTCCGGGGATACCAGATATAGTGAATGCAGGGTCCGGGGAGACCAGATATAGTGAATGCTGGGTCCAGGGTTTAGTAACACTATAAGGATTGGTGAGCTGCAAAATATATACAATTTTTGTTTTTGAATTTAGATATGCTTTAAAATGAATATGCATTAATTTTCATGTATTTGCCAAATGCTATCGTTAACTACATAAATCACTGTGTGACTAAACATCTCTGGGTCCCTAAACTTGGGGGCCCCATATGTATCGTACGGTATGTTATGTCAGTTGTTACATCCTTGCACTTAGGAAAATGCTTGTCTTTGTTGAAACACATAGCCCTAAGAAAAAAAAAATATTACTAGGGCAGTGATGCAATTTCATTCATCTTTGTCAAATCAAAATTTAGAAATAGTATCAGTAGAATGTAATTATTGGCAATATGTAGTAATGCCTCTTTGGAGCACAGTGTTCTCCAATATACACAGAAAGATGCATTGGCCGCACACGTTTGTCTTTTGTTCTCCCTGTAGGATTTGGTCCGATATCCCGCAAACGTAAGTTGGAACATCCATGGTGTAGAATATGAATCAAAATCAGTGACTGCTTATGATTTATTCATGAAACGACATAGAGATTGCTTGTTAAAAGGAAATGTATAGTATATTTTCATTAATCACATACTGACTTATTACTGCACTGCTTACCTTTTCATATGGCTTTGACTTTTTTTTACAAGCTTGTCCCTACAAGTTTGTGTTATTGCTTTAAATAAAGAGACTTGCAGAATGGCCTCTCCTATGGTAGCAGAATTAATAACAGATATAAAAATAACTGCTATAGATTAAAAAAAAAAAGTATGGAACTCTCGAATCAGACCCAAGTCTGATTCGAGTCTGGAAAGAATTCATAGACTCTACTCTAGATTTGGTGGAGATATATTTAAATACACAGAATGGTATATCAAAGTTGTTAATAATCTGGGTAATCTTTAGACGTTACTCGTGTTAAAAAATATATACTGGGGTTTATTTTTTATTATTTGTTCATTAACCTCTTCATGCCGGCCTCCTGACGTCTGGGCCTAGACGCTGAGCGGCCGCACATTTGCGTGCAATTACAAAGGGACATATGTGCCGAGAGCGCGCGCCCTGCGCGCTCCCAGCACACATGTCCGGTACTCACGGAAAGGTCCCGATCTCCTCTTTCGATTGGGACCTGTTCCGATCATGTGACCACCGCGACGGCGCGTCACGGCGGTCACATGACCCTAAACCCCGCCCCGGCTTCTTAAACCCTTAAAGTGCCGGGAGGCACCGGCGTGAAGGGGTTAACTTATTTATTTAAGATGTATGGTTATAGGGATTTTTAAGAGTTGCTGTCTGATGTGGATGTCGGTTATTGCTTACATTCAATATTATACTTTTTACAATTTTAGCCCTGGTTCACACTGATGTAATATGGAATTCGCAGCGTTTTCACTGCGAATTCCGGGTTGCATCAGAATCGTCATGCAAACTGCTGCAGGTGTGTATGTTAAGTTAACAACACCCAGAAAGCAGTCCGCAAAACACGGTGCGATGTGCAGAATTGGATCGCATAGGTGTGAATACCTATGCAATCCAATTCTAGTGCAGACCCAAAAAAAGGGTCCTGTGCGGTTTTGGTGCGAGTGTGGTGCGAATAGAGCAATACAAAATGTATGGCTCCAATCGCACCGCACACAAATCACATGTGTTTTGTGCAGGAATTCGGCACAGTTCCTGTGCGAATCACATGCGATATACCATACATATGTGAACCCAGGCTTAATGCACAAAAACACAATATATTGCCCAATTGTTTGATAAAATATAAAATATGATGTTACGCCGAGTATATGGATACCAAACATGACATGCTTTAAAATTGCACATGTTCGCGCAACAGCGACAAACTACGTACATTTTAAAAATCCATAGACGATGCTTTAAAAGCCTTTACAGGTCATCACTTTATAGTTACACAGGAGGTTTAGGACTAGAATTACTGCGGTGATACCTTACATGCATGGCGCAATTCTCTTTACATACCGACACGGGACTGCCTTTGTGTACGAGCACAGAGGTGGGGGTGAATTATTTTTTAAATATTGATTTATTTATTACACATTCCCTTTCTTTTTTTTTTGGATCATTTTTATTGTTATCACAGGGAATATAAATATCCCGTGTGATAGCCAATGACAGGTATTCGTTTCTGAGAAATCTGGGGTCTATTAGACTCTAGATCTCTCCTCTGCCCTTAAAGCATCTGATCTCGCCAAGATGGGTGTGATCAGATGCTTTCCCAATTTTAAATGGCTCTGTTTATATCCGGTGAAACGGAAATGATGAAATTCTCGTAGCTTCCATTCTCTTAGACCATAGAGATGACTGGAGGCATTCCAGTCTCTGATCAGCTCTATGGTCAGCCAGCGGAACTACCGGCTGCATTCTCAGTTTTTAATAGAAAAGCAGAGGGACTGGCAGGAACACCAGGGATTTCACACAAAGGAGAACAGGATATTTTTTCATACAAGTACAAGATACAGCAGTCACATATCAGGAATATGAAATGTTATGTTTACATATTCTGTACATTGTGGACATTTCTTAATATTGTACTATTCAGAAATTTAAAACAAAAAAGAATGGCCACTAGAGGGAGCTTTTAATAGCTCAGTGCAATTTCATAAGAAGCAGTAGTAAAGCAAAGCCATTGTGTAGCAGTGCAAAGTAGCAAGTAGAGCTTGTATATGGAATAAGCAAATATCGCTGCCCCTGTATACTAGGAGAATTACAAATTATATATAGAAGAAATGTTTTTTAAAACAGTAACACATTGCTTAGTGAATATTTACATTAAGGTGAGCTCACATTCATGTTAATGGAAAAATATGAAATGACTATACATTCCCTTTAAGAAAATCAACAGCAAATCAAAGAAATGAAAGGATGAGCAAAAAAAAAAAAAATCTGATTTTTGTTTGTTATTAATGTGCATGCCTAAAGTAGACATAATGCATACTATGTAGTCTAGTTGAACAAATTCTAACTGTTAGTGAATTGCAAAATTTACCATATATTTCCATATCCATATATTGTTTTTTCCACTACACTTTATAGAATTAGAAATAAGAGTAATCTTTTGAGCAGTCAGATATTTAGGAATGACATAGAATACTCATATCATACAACAAAAAAAAAAGTGAATTTGGAGATTTTTAAGATGCTAATAATTGTAAAAAGTATAAAAAAAATCTACAATATATATTTTATTTATACAAATTTTAAAATGTCACATATATCATAGTACATACACATGCTATATAACACACACACATATAAATTGGAAGTAATTTGTAGTAATGGAGTGATTACCATGGTTTCATTCTCCGTCTTATCTTACGTACATATGTGGGATCAGAAGGAGAATGTAATCATGTTAATCACTCCATTACTATAAATTACTTTAAATATAATCAGGACTTCAATACTTATTAAAACAGATATTCAGAGAGTTCACTGGCTCTGGTTAGGCAGCTCAAATGTAAACTACCCTTCAATGGGTACCCAGAGCATAAACCAAAGGAAGGAATGACAGACTGTATTCATCAAGGAGCCCAACATTTTAACGTTTTAATTATTCAGAAAACAACATCCAATGCGTTTCTGGGGCAAACCACAGCCCCTGCCGTTCATTAGCCTCAGAAATATTTGCAAATGTTTAAATGGACTCAGGAAAGCAAATGACAGATACATTTTGAAGGCTATCTTTCATACCATGTTTAGGGTTTAACTTAATATGGTAAATCTGCAGCCCCCACCCCACAATCTGCAGCCCCCCCAACTCCAAACTACCCCACCCCTCCCCATTTACAGAATCTGGGGTTCTTCTCCCCACCATTTCCGGTCAGTATTTGAATTTGGCACATCTGCCTGTAGCATCATTCACTCATTCAAAGAAATCTGTGAATGAAGAAACTGCGGCAGAGAGACTTGAAGCTCTCAATGGAGACTATATACAGTGAGGTCTATACCTGGCACTAGAGGAGTAGTCTGCAGGAGCCAGAGCATTGCACCCGCAATCCACTGATTATGGTTGTAGTGCATAGAAGGCTCAAACGCAATAAATAAGAAATGCACTTTTTTGTCTCATTATTGGAACTCCCTGTAACACTGACAAATGACTTTCCTTTCATGCAATTCCAACTCATGGTGCTAATACTCAAAGAACAATCTTTGAGTATTAGAGGTCCTCAGGTCATCCATTGGCCATGGTGGTCAACCTTTGGTCATGTACACAAATGTGTACTATTTTTGGTAAAGCTGTCCAGCCCAAAAGGAAAGGGAACAATGTTTCTCTATGGCCTCCCAGGAATTTACCTATAACAGCTCACATCAAGAGGACGGCAATATCTCTTTTGGTGATATACTTGCCCGACATTATAGTTTACTCTGCACAACATCTCTGTACCTGTTTATTTGATGTCACTGGCTCATATTAGAGGTCCTCAGTTTTTCTATTGGCAATGGTGGTCAGCCATTGGTCATGTACAAAAATGTGTACTATGTTTGGTAAGGCTGTCCAGCCCAGAAGAAAAGGGAACAAATACTCCCTATGGCCTTCCAGGAATTTACATATGAACAGGGGCGGACTGACCATTTGGAAACTCGGGCACTGCCCGAGGGCCTGGGGTCAGTAGGGGGCCCCATGAGATGCCCCTGGTACGTTTTACATAGGCTTTTTTTAGTTTGGGCAAGGACACAGGGGCCCCATGATCCCCTATTGCCCGGGGGCCCCATGAGTTGTCAGTCCGCCCCTGCATATGAAAGCTCACATCAAGAGAATGGCAATATCTCTTTTGGTGGTGTGCTTGCCCAATGTTATAGTTTATTCTTCACAACATCTCTGTAACTGTTTATTTGATGTTACCGGCTCATATAATCCATTATTTCTCAGATTTGACAGCAGATTTTTCTAAGATAGACACCTTACATCTGCATTTTATATAATAAGTCCATTTTCAAATG